TCGCTTCATTTAATGGCCGTCATGACAACAATCGGTTGCTCTGGCAACGACAGCTGCCAAAACAAAAAAAATAATCCGAAAATACAAAGTTACGCGTTTCAAAAGCATGAAAATTGTATTCAAAAACTATATTCAATTTGTGTGCTGTTGGCAAAGGTGCTAAATTGATGGCGGAAGTGCACATAATAGGACAACTATTGAAAGCTGTTGAATTCGAAGAGCCACATTTGTACTGCAAGTGGAGTTTACAGAGTGGTAAATGAAATAAATTAAAAAAACTAATATACATTATATACATCTGTATATTTTTCAACTGTTTAATATAATGCGACTAGGTAACACCTGGCGCTTGGTGCAGGGCGAGGTGCAGGGTCAGACGCACGTTTCCAGCCATCGCCTGCAGAACAGCTCAGACTTCGCTCAGCCCATCGACATTCATCTGAGCACCGCCTCCCTGCAGGGCTGGCCACGCCTACTCGTCGAAGTGTACGCCGTCAACGTCCTGCAGCAGTGCTGGCCCGTCGGCTACGGCTTTGCCCACCTGCCGGCTAGACCGGGCCCGCATCGCCTGGAGATAAACACCTGGCGGATAGCTCCAAGCACCTGGTGGCAGTGCGTAAAGGAGAAATTCGGAGGCGGCAGCCCAGCTTTGCATAAAAGCGATTTACTTTACTCGGGCGTAGAGCGGTAAGCGAGAATAACACATGCTTTAAGGAAAATAGATGAGCTCTTGGAAAATAAAGCTCTATTTTCTTGAGTAGTTAATCAATAAGCTAGATTATGTTTTGATTAATATATCAAATGCATGATCGAAGTTTATATTGAATAGTTACGTTAGTTTTTTAGATAAATTATAAAGCTTTCGTTTCTAAGAGTCCCTCTTCTGCGTAGTCTTAGCTTAGTTTAATTTAAATTACATAAGCTATGTATCTATTGATATTCTCATATTCATACATATATGTTTATATAATTTAGTTGCCCTGTGCTTATAACTAGCTTCCGCCTTATATCAGCTAGTGTCATTATTTCATTAGCATCTAATTTATTGTCTATCTACTTTTGCTCACATTCCTCTTTCTCTCTCTTCTCACAGCTACAAACTGCAAACGCGCAGCTCTGGCAAAATAATTGTGGAACTCAATTTAATATTTCGCAGATTTGAGGAATACGGCGTGGAATTTAAATAATAAACATGTTCCACTTGAATATATTAATACTCGCTACATTTTTGGGCATTTGCCTGCTCTCAGCTCCCATGCAGTGCATCAAAATTGGCGTCTCAAGGAGCGACAACACTACCGCTGCAACAACAACACTCACATCACCAGCAACAACAACAACAACAACTTCGTCTACAACAACAGAATTTCCAGCAACAACAACAGCCATGGACAACTATGATTTTGATATGAATACTACTTCCAGTTCCTTGCCTGACGCTGTGACCACGCCCAGTCAAACGTTTCCTCCCCGACGAAAGACGTCCAAGCCACGCACCACTGCGGCGCCCACAAAACCCACAACACCTGCCGTTGCTGCCACAGCAAACAGCTTCAATGCCAGCACAGCTCCAGCATATGGTTCCCCTCGCAAGCACACGAGCTTCTATTACTGCTCCTGTGACCTGCGGCAGGATCTGTGTGAGGTTAATTGCTGCTGCGATCGCGACTGCTCGCAGGAGTCACTGCAGGTCTTCAGCTGCCTGCCCGAGCAGCACACGCGCCTCGAGGACTTTCAGTACAATCATGGACTGCCCACGTGCCAGATCAGCGACGGCTGGCTCTGCGTCTTTCGCAGCCACACGAAACCAGCCAAAACGCAGGTAAATCAATCGTCAATAATAAATATTACCATTTTTATAGATCAGCAATGAGTGTAGGCTAAAACTAGATGAAATGCTCACTCACTAGCTGTCTTAATGAATTCCTAGTTCTAGCTATCCTACCTAGATTACCTATTATATGTACATTTCCATGAAAATTATGAAAATATGCACTGCAAATACTATATAAGAATGTATTAGTAAATAATAAAATTAATTTCTTTTCATTCTTGTCTCTTGACAGATACCAAGCCAAATCTTCGATTCCAGAGACTACAATAGATGGCCGGAACAGTTGGATGCCTTTGAGACAGCGCTGCCGGCATCACCAACGACGTCCCACTACAAATTCGGCCAGGCTCTGCAGCTGTGGCAGCCCGAGAGCAAATCCTTAGCCAGCTGGGAGCTGCCCATGGCCTACGAGAGCGCCGGCTGCCAGTTGAAGCAAACGCTGCTCTATCTGCAGCCCATGGAGAGCAGCTGCCTCCTCGCCGATGCCTCGCAGTTGCAAATGAATCTCTGGAGTCTGCTCAATCTGACCAACAGCCATCAGTTGCTCTCGCGGCCCAGAGAGCTGGAGGAGCAGCAGGTGCATGGACTGAATATAACAATCTGTCAGCAGCTGCTGCTGAAGCCCAAGGTCCAGTGCCTCGAGGGCAACGAGACGCAATTGGAGCTGTTGGTGGATCGCATTGAGCTGCAGCTGCTGCATAATTATACAAACATTCTGGAGGCCAAGCTGCTGCTGAGGGAGGCCAACGTGGGGGATGGCAAGGCGGAGCTCTGGCTGACCTACGCGCTCGTCTACAAGTCCATTGAGGAACTCCATACCAAGCCCAGCTCTGGCGCACTTGGCTATGAGCTCGGAGCACCCCTGCTCCTGGCCATGCTGCCAAGTGCTGAAAACAGCAGCAAACCGGAGATGCTCAACTACTATCAGAGTCGGAATGAGAGCAGCCAAGTCAATCAGCACTGGCTGATTCCCTGCAGCCAGAGCTTGGAGCAGCGCCACGCCGTCAGCTTCGGCATTGATCTGACCAAGCAGTGCCAGCTGAGGCAGCTCTCGCCTGTGCCGGAGCACGAGAATAACACAGACTACTGCCAGCAACTGCAGCTGGCCATCTGGCGCCAACTGCTGCCCCCCAACTGCACCCAGCTGGAGCAAGTGGCTCAGCTGGTGTTCGTCTCCCAGCTGGGCAGACCGCAGCTGGACAAGTGGCTGCCGCTGCAGCTCAGCTATGCCGACGGCCAGCCCCAGCAGACGCCCATCCAGGCCACTTACGATGCCCAACAGCAGACTCTGAGCTGTCGCAATATGTGGCTCAGCGTCAGCTACGAGTTCTATGTCTCCGAGCTGGCGCTGCTCGACGGACAAGTGCCCCATCAGAGTGTCCTGCAGCATGCGAGGCTGGTGCTCGGCCAGCGACACGATCTCGAGTTCGATGCGGCCGAGGAACATATCCAGTTGCCTCTAGCTGTCTCCGTGATGTTCTTCAAGGCGCAGAACAAGCTGCACAACAGCTCAAATCATTTAATTGCCCTAGATTCCCACTTGATATTCAGCGCTCTTACAATTCTTATGATTGTGGCTCAAAGATTTCAACTTGGCTAGTCAGAGTAATGAAGTAGAAGCTAATATATATCCACTCCAAATATTAATAATAAATAAAAACGCTTTTTGCAAGAACTATGATTGAATGTGGAATACTTTTGAGGTGTCTCGATTATCTTAGCAGATATCCCTGCGGCACTTGCGCAACTGTTTGCGCAACAGCATGGCATTCAGCTCGGCCTGCTTGCGCTTCTCCTCCTCCTCGATGGCCAGCCTGATCTCTTCGGCCTCATTGGTGGCCCGCTCGGAGATCTCGTGGAGCTCGGGCAGGAAGTCGAGCACGCCCTTGCGTATCAGATACTGATAGTTCATGGCCGCAGTGTATTTGATCTCGTTGCCAATCACGTGGCTCAGTTCCATCCAGTGCAAATAAATCCAGTTCTCGTTGCGCAGATCCTTGACGCTCTGGTAGACGGGCACGAAGCCGTCAATTTTCCCTATGAACACATTAGCCACCTCCATTATCTCGGGCTTCTCGCTGAAGTTGTCCAGCGACTGGACCAGTTCTTTGCGCAAATTCATCAAGTTGTTCCACACCTCGTCCAGCTCAATCAGCGCAATGGGATTACCCAGAGTGGCATCCTCCAATTTGTGAAAGTTGGCACAGGCATACCAGAGCGTTCGATAGGGCTGAAAACTCCTCACAATGCTGGTCAGAAACTCGGTGGACAGCGGCTCCAGTTCGAAGAGCTCTTGGCGATATTGCAGCGTTTGGCCCAGCTTCTCCAGTTCCCGGATCAAGGCCGATGTCAATTTAATATCGACCGATGTCTCCATCGCTCGATTCGGATTGAAGCAGAGCGAATAAGCTTGGACCTCGTCATTCAGGGACTCGAGACGCTCCTCAAAGACCTGGCACTCGCTGTAGTGCTGACGCAGGAACTCATCAATGTCGAGCTTCTGCTCCTCCTTCAGGGTGGACAAACGCACCAGGATCTGATAGGGCCACGCAAAGGCGTTCCATTTCATGGCAAACTGATGGTCGCTCAGATTGTAAAAGAAGCTATCGAGCAGGTCGTACTCCAGCCAAAGCACCTGTATGTCGGCACGCAGGTGCTCCACAATGTCGGGCACGGTCAGCGCAAAGTCCCGGATCTCGAACAGATGCTCGATGCTGACGGGTCGCAGGGCGATCTTGTGGAACACCTCGTGGCAACGCTCGATGATGTTCTCCGTCGACTCGTACATGCGATCCACATAATACTCGAAGATGCGCCGCACCAGGTCAATGTACTTCTTGATCAAGAACTGCTTCAGATTGTCCACATTGATGTAAAACGGTCCGATGGTTATGTACGATGGCAATATTTCGCGCACCTCCTCCTTCCTTCGCTTGTACTCCAGTATATCCCATTTCACCTGCGACGAGGGCTTGCGAGCCAAGGCATAGTCCTTCATAAAGTCAACGACATTCAGCAGGTAGAAGTCAATGAATCGCTCGTAGTGACGGGCATAGGCCTTCAGAGGCAGCACGGCGTGGGCATAGCAATCGCGCATGAGCTCGTTCTGAATCAGGAACCTGTCCTCGATCAGCTCGACGGTCAGGATGAATAGATTGTGGGCGAATTTCAGATTGCTCATGACTTCCGCTTCGATTGTGCGCACACCCGATGTCTTCTCCAGGCCACGCCGGAAGATGTCCATCAGTGAGGGCTGAAAGTCATCCGGATTGGTGGAGTAGAAGACCTTGCGATCGTCACTAATGCCAATTGTCAGGGCAAAGACGGGCTTTGCATAGGGAAATTCCGTGTCGATATAATTACTGGTCCACTTGTAATTGCTCTTCAGATGCAGGAACTGCTGGCACGGATCACAGACGAGCTTCGAGAAGTTCATCAGCGAGGAGAGCAGCAACACCTCCATCGACTCCTGCATGCGGAACTTCACCTGCAAAATGAACTGCGAGATCTTGCACATCTGGTACACCGTCCAATTGTTCAGCGAGATGTCCAGCCAGCCCTTGCCCAGGGCGCGCAGCACCACAGTGATCACAGTGGTCAGCTGCTGGGGCCAGTAGACCTTCAGGAAGGTGGACACACTGTCGCTGTGCGTCTCCTGCGACTGCAGGAAGTCAACCAGGGCCATGGGCTTATTGAAGTTGACCACGAATATGCTCAGAGTCTCGATGTGCTGGCATTCGCCAGCGACGCCACTCATGGCCTCGATGCCGCCGGCACAGTAGAAGAGGCTGGCCCTCAGCCAGCCGTAGCGCTTCTCCTTGATGTTGATGCCCAGCGCCTGCAGTTCGCGTCGCTCCTGATCGGCAAAGTCCACGGGGGCAGCAGTCGGCAGGAATTCCTTGAGCGAGATATTCCGGAATTGGGGGAACTCCTTGGGCATGTGTATGATGAACTGCTCCAGCTCATAGAGCGCCATCAGGCGCTCGAAGACGATGTTAACCTCGGAGCGCAGTCGACGCTTGCACTGCTCCGAGACTGTGGACTTGGCCAGCAGGTCCTCAATGGGCTTGAAGCTCTCGAAAGTCGTCGACTCAATATCATCGTGGAGCACACAGTCCACAATCAGCTCCATCAGCATCAGCTGCTCGCCCTTGTGCCGCTCATGCACGGCCGACTTGAGACGCTGTATATATTTGTGCGGATCCTCGGCAAGGAACATGAACTGCAGCTTGGGCACATCGTAGCTGCACTCATCGTCCATCGAGATGAGCGTCCAGAGATCCGTTTTCTCATTATAAAATGTTACGGCTGCCGTGACCCAACGGCAGCTGCGCAGGCTCCGATTGTAGGGCAGATAGGCGCGTGCCGGCAGCGGGTAATGGACATCCCCGACAACTCCCAGCTCAAACCAAGCGGCTGGCGAGCTAATGTCATAGTTGCTGTCATCGAAGAAGCTCAGTGGAAACTTGTGCGGAAAGGCGAACTCGGACATCAAGTTGTACTGCTCTTCGGTGGGCTGCAGCATATCGTCGGTGAGTCCGGCCTTCTTCAGCTCTTCGATCAGATTGATTTTGCTGTATTGTCTGCGGCGACGATCCACGGCCACATCCTTGGGTATCTCACCCTTGGGCACGAAGCGCGTCTGGATGACCTTTGGCAATATTGTGGGCAGTGGAAAGCGATAGACTTTGCCATTCTTGCCCATCAGGGTGAGCCAACGTTGTGCCTCCTGGATAGGATAGTGAACGGGCGTCAATTGCTCGCGCGGTATATTCAGCTCCTGGAAGTGCTTCGGCGCTGTGCCTGGACGTGGTGGCATAATACATATTGCCGGTAATTCGTCCTCTTCTTCCCCGGAATCTGAATCAGCAGAATAACTGCGTGTTTCGGACGCAGTTGATTGTTCGACTTCCATTGGTTAGGATGTTATTTTTTTGTTTGTTTTGTAATTCCAATATATTCCTGATGTTCGTGTCGTAAACTAAGAAATAAATGACATACTTTGTATCAAGGTATTTTTGAATAACATTGTCCGATTACAAATTCAAACAGCGCGCCATTTGTAATTTGCAGTAGTTGGCAGCACGAGCATAGAAAGTTGGCAGCGCAAAAATTCAAAATTATTCGTTGTTTAACACTAACAAAAACAGTGATGAGCGGTTTTGTCGCTGAATTGTCGCAGATAACTGTGCCAAAATATGGCTATTTAAGCACATTCGATTATAGAAACGAAATCAATTTTAATTAACTGCATGTATCTATCACTAGTTTACTTATTATTAAAAATATTCGCACAAATATTGTGACTCTTCATTCGATAGTTGCGATACTTTGTGCCAGCTCTAGCAAGTCACGTAAATATCGTTCGCCTCAATTAAACACCAGCTCGTTCGTGTGCAACAAAAAGTCATTTTTCAATGGAAAATCAAATGAATTAATTACGAAAACTAATGAAAAACGTAAAAGAAAAACCATGCTAAACATGTACATAGGAAGTAAGTGGAAAAACCAATTCAAACTATGCGAAAAGTGTGTGTGAAAATTTTCAACTTTCTGCCAGAGCACTGGTGCTCCGCTGGACAGAGAGAGAGAGAGAGCGAGAGAGCAAAAGCTTGTGAGAGCAGAAAAAATCAATAAAAATTGTAGCATCGCGATTGAAACGAGCAAAACAAAGAGCGCGCAACGAATGTGCGTGGAATGTGATAAACGCTAATAAGAGCAGCCGTTAACTGTTCCCATTTCAGTATCAACTGCAGCTACATACATGGCCCAAATGCGTTGGCAGCAGACAGGTGTATACAAAAAGAGACAAAGCTAGTGAACGCGAAAGCGGAAGACAGATAAGCAGATAAGCAAATAAAAGCCAACATAAAGCAAGCATTAAACAAACATCAAACAAACAACTGTGCAAAAAGTAAACGGCAAACAGCTGTTACAGTTATTGTGTGTAGCGCAATCAATGTAAATATTTGTGTTTGATTTATCAAAAAGCTGGCAAAGCAAAGGCATTTAGTTCACTTAACCTTAGTGAACCCACACAACAAAGCGCGTCACCCACGCTTAGGCGGGCGCATTCACACACAGCCAGATCGCATATGTGTACATATTTATATATGCATATGCATGTGTGTGTGTATATATGTACATATATCTCAAGTTGAGGCAATGCTCGCACGTTCGTTCACTTTGATGGGTGCGCGTAAACAGCAAACATTCCGTCTTTAAATCGAATGTATTTCGCAAAAACAACAACAACAGCTGCGATAACAATTGAAAGAGACTAGCGGCAAAGCTCGCACCGGTGATTCACAGCCAGCGGAATCGCTAATTAAAGTTGCAGCGAGTGTTGGCGTCAGCGTCAATTGAATGGGGAGAATACGCAGAGAGAATAGAGAATATCTAATATAGAATGTCAAACCAGCTTTGATGATGTGATTTTTCTATCCCACTTAAGTAATTCAATTTTGTTTTTGCGCATTTGCAGTTTGAGCAATAGCAGCAGCAGCAGTAGCAGCAGCAACAACAACAACCGCAACACCAACAATAATAGCAGCGCTATGAACGTTATGCGCAAGCTGCGCGGCGCTGCTAGCGGTAGCAGCGGCAGCACGTCAGCCGCCAACAGTAGCAACAGTAACACCAGCCCCAGCGCCGTCAGTGCTTCCAACGGACGCAGCGGCGACGAAGCACTGCTCGATGCACGCATACAAATGAGTCTGGCGACACTGAAAAAGCTCTTCAACGAGTACACGCATCCCAAGGAGCCGCTGAGCGAAAATGAACGGGACGGCAAGCTCTATGAAATGCTGCCATTGTTCTGCAAGGTCTGTGAACTTTACCATTTCAATTGAAATATCTACAAAACTGTGAATGTTACTCATTGATTTGTTTGTTTTGTGTTTTTTTATGGCCCCGCAGGTGTTTAGCAGCTGTCCCGCCAATGATATGAGCGAAAAGTTCTGGGATGTTGTTGCCTTCTGTCAACAGGTCTCTCGACTGATGGTCAGCGAGATACGGAAACGTGCATCTAATCAAAGCACTGAGGCTGCTTCCATAGCCATTGTCAAGTTTTTGGAGGTGGAAACAACGGAGGACACCAGCAGCGGCTGGCTGCTGCTAGCCACACTGAATCTCTTGGCCAATGGCGATGTGTCGCTCATACAGGTTAAATTGCAAATTATGGACATTTAAATAATGATTGCACTTGATCATGTGGATAGAGAAACTAAGGGATAGAGAAAAAGAGGCATTTGTCGCATACATTAAGTATGAA